GCGGCAGGGTGTCAACAGGAGAGGCTTCAGTCATTTCTGTGTCTGATGCCATAAGGTTTACTGGTCGCGACACACAGGATCAAGAGGAGGTCCAGGATGACGGAATGACCAAGCTCCCAAAATTGGGGTTTGCGGTTTAAAAGAGACCTGAGGAAACAGTGGCGGCTGATTAACGACCACGGTCTACCCCTAGCGATGTACCCCAGATGAGAAATCTGTGTTACGCTTGAGGTAGCTACCGGGTCGGTGAAAAGTCAAGTAGGAGAGAAGGCCTTTGCAATTTCCAAGACGACCAGTGCCAACTCCTGACTAGGCGAGTAGGATTTCGATATGCGTAGGTTGAGATGAGTGCAATTCGAGATTGGCGGGAAGAGGGGAGGGAAAGAAAGGTAACCAGATTGGATTCAAAGGAAAGGTCTGTTAGGGGAGTTTTTTTTTCACCTCTTTCCGGAAAGAGAGGCTGGCCACTGTGAAGGCGGGATCGAGGCTAGAGATAATGTAGGAATAGTTTCAAAGAGAAGAGACAGAAGATAGAAAGAAAGAGAGAAGGAGTCAGAAAAGAGCTTTGGGGGAAAAAGGAAGAGAGTTTCGGTATCGGCGTTACGGCAGAGGGGGTACATTTGAGTGACCTGAGTTCTGGTAAGACGGGTGCGGTACAAAGGGGTACCTATGGAGTCTTGAGTACAGTTGTCTATCTTCGCACCTTTTCAGTAGGTGGAGGAACCCATGTCCCTTGGATCATCCCTCCGAGAGGGATCTTTTTTCTTTTAATTTTCTCTAGTTTTTTCTCTAGTTTATCTCTAGTTTTCTATGTGTCCTGTATTACACACCTTTGTTTTACCTATGTAGTGAATTTTATATTACAGATTCATATACAACAAACTAGATGCGTAGCGCGTTATTTCAACTGTAGCCTTGGGTAGATAGATAATAATATTAATATCAAATCTCCAAAAAAAAAACTCAATAAACCCGGTGAGGATTCAGAAAGAGGAAATAAGAGGGGATTTCTAGAAATGAGAGGCGTTCAGGAACTAACGGGTGGCTCCTTAGATTCCCCTTTCCACACACTCACCTTTCCGGACAAGTACCCGGTACACCGCCGTTGCCTATTTGAGCTTGGTTCGATCAAGTACTCGGTACATCATAGGGCATAGTCTTTCTATCTATCCGGTTCCGCTCTTCCACCTCCACCGCTAGTGTTGATTTGACACGTACTGTGAAAAATATTCAATCTCTGTAAACAAAGTATTGTACGCTTTTGTTTTTTTTTTCCTATTTGATCCTCCGTATACGGAGTACATCTCAAAGAGTCACCTGGCTCCAAGAACTTGGGTCTATCTGCATGATTGTTCAAATATCTAGTCGGGTAACCCGGGGAATAATCAAATCAAATATGATCATATGTATTGTCTCCTGTGGAGTATTTACCATGTATTAGTTATACAATAAATACCCTTTGCACTGGCGGCCTTTTACCCCCGTCCTTCAGGGGAGGGGGGCATGCAATGTCGATCGAGCCTCAGAGGCAAATGACGCCATGGATATCATTGGCCCCAACATAATTCTCAGGAATCTGTCGTAGAAAGTTCAACATCCATCGTTGTTATACAAGGTACATCATCTCTATGAGGTATGCTATAAGACAACATACACGCAAATTTTGCGGTGTATGTTCTATTCTACCTCTTGGTACGGTGACGAGGATTCCAAGGGGTTGAATACGGCTGCCCTTGGGCAAGATCGGCCGAGAGACAAAGGAGCACCAATACCCCATACAGATTTTGAAGGCTCAAACACGGATGTCTTATTAAATTGTCTACAACGGTTTTCCCAATCTAATTTGTACACTGTGTTGGAAGGCAGGAAAACACCTCCGTCAAAAATTCCTCGTTCGCCCCTCGTTAGCCGCCTCCACCGCCACCAAAAATAAGCGAACAAAAAAAAATCCCCCCCCCCTCATGCAACGTACGGAAGAGTAGATTCACAGTTGAGAACACTCGGAGGAACTACCTAACGCACCTCGCAGGAAAGTTCAGCACAACTGCATTTTTTTGGGCTCCGCACCTACGGCCTGTCGCAATATCCCGCGACCACTCACCATCTCCCGTCCTTGACCCACTTTCTCGCAACCAATGTGCGCCCAACGCTTGGGCTACCGATCAATTACCGTGGATTTTGACTTGCTTCTTTACTATTCGATCGATAGCCAAACAGGAGGTAAATCTGAGCGCTTTCATCAGTGCCGATCTCAAATCATTTTCAGTGAAACCGTTATGCTCGCCTGTCCTGGTCATCTCCCGTGGGCATTTGCATCATCAAAATTGCCGACGTCATTTTCAAGGTCCGGGGATATGAACTAGTCTTCCGCCCTCATCGGTTTCCCTATGCCGAGTTAGCCCCATCGGACTAAACAAGATGGGAATTAAGGGAATTGATATCAAAACTCGAGTACGGAGTACAATCTATCATTGCCCCGCTTAGTGGTGCTTATGTTGTATGCGGTTGGTGACAGCCAACTCACCCTTCTATCAAACCAGATGCGTTCCTAGATCCCGTTGTCAGATGACTTTTGGCCCTAGAGGAACGGTTCTACGCTCAGGCCTGATACCGTATCTAGTACGGAGCACATAATTCGTGAACACAAGTGTAACTATCGAAGGTGACCCTCTTCACTGAAGCCCATGAGGTGGGGGGGGGTGCGTGTGACATGCTTTTGGGCCGTAATCTAAAAATCGATAAGAACCGTGTTTAAGATTGGTATTAGTGTATTTAACCACATAAGGTATTTAGGGTCTAAGCTGTTACACTGCTTGACATTTATATTGGTTCAACCACGGAGTACTCCGTATGGTTCCCGCTAAGTAGAAAAAAAAAAAAAAAAAA